AACTTTTTGACTACATGTTTCAGACATGTCAATGAGTTGCACATGTATATAACATCAACGTACTCATGTGCAGCCCCTCGACACAGATGAATCATAAATGATTTTTTCGGAGCGCGTCTGGCTTTCATCATCCTCCCCCTGTTCTTTTCTCTGGCTGTGTTTGCTGATATTTTGGACTCCCCACACATTCCTCCCTCTCTCTCTCTCTCTCTCCCCCTCTCTCTCTCTCTCTCTCTCTCTCTCTCTCTCTCTCATCTCTTGCCATGTGGTTCCTCTAAGGCTCTTTCCTTGCTTTGGTTTCCAGTTTTGTCCTGCAGAGTTGAAACATAAAACTGCAGAAAGCCTGCGGCCTGGCTCTCCTGCAGCCAATCAGGAACTCCTCCCGAGGTCAAAGGTCAGGACCTAAAGAATGTCAATTACATCTGGGGAAAGATCTTGTTCACCCTGAACCCCACTGACCTACAAACACACCCTTTAGTCAACAAGCCCGTCTCTCCTGCTGATCCAAACCTCGTAGCTGAGTCTTCTTTGTGTAATTCACTCGACTACTGTCAAAAATCCAGATGTTCTAAAGCCTACCTTCGTTTTTATAGATAACAGAATGTCCCGCCTTTGACTAGTCAGTGTGTTAAGAATTAAGAGGTTTCCTTTTCTTTTTTTACCAATGTTAGTAGCTGTGAAATGTTGCCCTTTTCATTATTTGAGCACAGCAAAGATGCAGAGAAACCTTTTTGCAAACACTTGGCTCAGTGTGCTGTGGCTGCTTAATACACAACCTTCTTGTTGCTGTGTGTGTTTGTGTGTGTGTTTATGATCAGGTCAGTGTCATTAGGGCAGCCCCTACGGGTTTCTCTTTCTGTTATTATGTTTGAAAAGAGTGTGAGGGAGAGGAGGAGGCTGTACATCGTTATAGCCGTGACTAGTCCTGCTTAAGTGGGCCAACAGAGCTCCATTCATTACTGAGCTATTTCTGTGAAGGGTAGTGTGTGTGTGTGTGTGTGTGTGTGTGTGTGTGTGTGTGTGTGTGTGTGTGTGTGTTCTTGGTAGACTTGTGCAAGAACTCTGCCAGAGTAAACACACACACAAAGACACACACATGTTCATATGCACTCACACATGCATGCATAGAGTCCATCTGTTTATCTGCATACTTTTTTTACCCTGCTCTTCAATGGTCAGGACCCCCACAGAGCAGGTACTATTTGGGTGATGGATCATTCTCAGCACTGCAGTAACACTGACGTGGTGGTGGTGTGCTAGAGTGCGTTGCGCTGGTACGAGTGGATCAGACACAGCAGTGCTGCTGGAGTTTTTAAACACCTCAGTGTCACTGCTGGACCGAGAATAGTCCACCAACCAAAAACATCCAGCCAACAGAGCTCCCTGGGCCTGCTCTGTGGAGGTCCTGTGGGGGTCCTGACCATTGAAGAGCAGGGTGAAACGGAGCTAATAAAGTATGCAGAGAAACAGATGGACTACAGTCTGTAGTTGGAGAACTACAAAGTGAAGCTATATGATAAGTGGAGCTGATAAATGGACAATAAGTGTAGATGTAAATGCCATATATATGTCAGATACACAGAAAAGACATATGTACACTTATAAACTAAAGACAGACAGACAGATACAGCAGCAACGAAGGAGAACTGTGAGAACCATGTACATAGATTAGGAGAAGCTATAAACTTTAAAAGGCGCTTATAGGAGTCTTACTACAAGTTTGAATTACTACAAACGTGTGTTTGAATTAAGATGAATATTTACATGTGAAGTATCTTAAGCTAGTTTGTTCTATTTCTTGAAATATATTCTAGTGCCTTGAAATATGTGCTGCTGTTAGTTATGTTGCTGTGTGTAGGTACAGAATGCAGAGCTCAGCGGAACTGCCTGTCCTAGTATTAATACATCAGAGTGGTCATACGACACACAGATGAAGGAGCTGTCCTGCAGTGACTGCCTGCTCCAGTCCTGCTGGAAGCTCCAAAAGACTGTCAGAAAGTGGTTGAAATGTAATAGACAGTTGGAGATGACACTTTATCTCTCACATTTACTCTCACTTTGCCTGTCACATACACACATGCATCAGCAAAGTAGTCAATCAGTATCTGGAGCAGACAGTTTATTTTGGAAAGTGCAGTCGTTCCAGCAGATTATTTGGCAGGAGAAAATGTTCTGCCTCCTGTTTCAGCCCCCCTACACACCCCCTTTACGCCCTACCAACTTCACCCCGTAGTCACTGTCAGTGACAGTGTTCACCATGTACAGGGGTCAGCAACATGTGGCTCTGGAGCTGCATGTGGCTCTTTTACTGCCCTGTTGTGGCTCCACAGCGGGATTAGATTTGTAGGTGAAAATAAAATAATCCTCCTTTACAGTAAAATAAAGCTCTGCTGATCGTTCAACACAGTTTTAACACTAAATGGTCTTAAACACTGGAGTTAATGTAGAACTGCTAATTCCTTTATGATTATAATTCCTAATGCCTTTAACTCTGAACACTGGCGCACAGACTGCTGGTCGCCATAGCAACGCAGACAACAATCTCGCCTAGCTCGTAGCCAACGAAACGGCGAAGAGAAAGATTTAAGACGAACATCGATAATTTGGTGATGCATGGATTTTACATTTATAAGCACTCAGCTGGTTTCCTGATATGTTTAAACTGCGAGGAGAAGCTGTCGAACACTAAAAAGTTGCGAAGATGAAGTCGCTTCTCATTCGCCAGCTTCTTGTTCGAATTTTCCCGTTCCACCTTAAATGGTGCAGCAGTTACATTCTGGCACCCCTAGTACCATTTAAGGTGGAACGGGAAAATTAGAACATGAAGCTGGTGAACGAGAAGCGACTTCAGCCTCATAAAAATCGACAGTTAAGAGACATTTTTTAAGAAACTGTTCTACTTTCGTGGAAAAGTTTCCTGCCGGAGATGCGAGAAAAGCGGCTATAGCTGAGCTAAAGCTTAAAGCAGAGCAAAGTGAGTCTGTATTTTCATTTAAATTACATTTTTTAGCCTTTACTAGTACATACTGAGAGATATTTACAGCCAAGATGGTAAAACTGACGTAAAATGTTGTGTCTTCCAGGGTGGTTTGATTTTTGTTGAAAGGGCAAAATGGCTCTGCTTAACATTTGGGCGGCCGACCCCTGACCGTGTAGAACAACACTATAAGCAAATGTTTGTAGACACCTGCTGATCCAGCATTTCTTCTGAAAAAAAGGGGTATTAATAGTGAGTTTGTCCCTCTTTGCTGCAGTAACAGCCTCTACTCTTATGGGAAGGCTTTATGCTAGATGTTGGAACATTGCTGTGAGGATTTGATTGAGCATTAGTGAGGTCAGGCACTGATATTGGATGGTCAGTTCTCAATCACTCCAACTCATCCCAAAGGTATTGGATGGAGCTCCAGCTGGGGGTCTTTATACCCCTGTAGCCCACACTTGGCATTGGACATGGTGACGTTAGGCTCATGTGCAGCTGCTCCAGAGTGTCTAGAGCTTTTCTATGGAGATTATAGAAGCCCAATTAAACTTCACATTTTGTAAGTTGCTTTAATTGAGTGACTGCAGAATACGTAAGTGTAAATGTAAATGCAGGTTAAATATACTGCCCTCTGCTGTATGTATATGTGAGTCAGAGAGTGCGTATAGAGTCCAGAGGCATTCAGGGCCCCTCAGAAAGAAGGTTAAGGCGGGTCACGGTGGAGCATTACATAACCCTAGTACCATAACACAAATTGTTCAGCCAGAGACTTTAGCAAATGAGTTTCTTTAGAGCTTAAACTGCTCTATGAGGGAGCTAAACTACAAGCGTTCTGCCAAACTTAATTGATGCCTTGTTTGTTCTGCTGACTCACATTTCATTTGTAAGCAGAGCAGAACATTTTCCCATGCTTTTAGCCATTCTCTTGATAATAGAGGGCTATTTTGTTGGATGTATTACTAAAATCCATGTGTAATCCTCTGTAGAAGTTAAAGTTTTAAGTGTGCACTTTGTATGACCAGTTTGGGTGGGTTTACAAATCAGCCCTTTTACCACAAAGGACTCAGAATTGAGATTGTCCAGTGGTTTGTTTGGTGTTTGGCTTAAAGGAATTTGTCCCTTACCCCAAATGTACTTTTCATTGAGCTATTGTGTGTTGCCCTAAGGCAGAAGTCGGCAGCATGCGGCTCTTTTACTGCCCTGTTGCGGCTCCACAGCAGAATTAAATGTTTAAGTAAAATAAAACAATCCTGGTGCAGCAGTTACATTCTGATGCCTCAGGCACCATTTAAGGTGGAACGGGAAAATTCGAACAAGAATCTGGCGAATGAAAAGCTACTTCAGCCTCATAAAAAGTCAAATATTGAGAGATATTTTACAAGAAAATTTTCTACTTTTGCGGAAAAGTTTCCTGCTGGAGATGCGAGGAAAGCGGCGATAGCTGAGCTAAAGCTTAAAGCGGAGCAAAGTAAGTCTGAGTTCTCATTTAGATTATACTTCTTAGCCTATACTAGTACATCAGTGCGTACTGAGACATATTTACAGCCGAGACAGTAAAATGGGCATAAAATATTGTGGCTCCCAAAGTGATTTGATTTTTGTTGAAAGGACTGAATGGCTCTTCTTAACATTTGGGTTGCGACCGCTGGCCTAAAGTTTAGGATGGAACCACAAGGTTTGCAGGTACAATTACAAAATGATTATTACAAATACATTCTTATTTATTTTCATGGCATTTCTACAGAATTGCTAAGTGATGATTCTTGGAAGACATCGCAATCAAAACATCCTCACTTATGTGAAAACACTAACTGCCTGTTATGTTGTGTGAACATTTCATTAAAAAATTTACCAACAGAAATGGTCCGAAAATACTTTACTGCTTAATAAAACCTTATGTTGCATGGACATTATAGTTGAGGGCATTTCTCTCTTCTCCTATGAAGTTAACAATTTAGAGATATGATGTATTGTTATGACAGCGGCCCATTTTCTCAATTCTGATCTCATTGGTCCACAGGTTTCTGGGCCCGGGAGCTGGGCCAGATGATTGGCTTTGAGCACCCCACCGTCCCTGTCCATCACCAGTATGTGGTCACAGCGACGGTTCCTGAGGTAAAGGCCCTGAAGAAGGAGCTGCCGGTCATCCGGGACCTGGAGGGCTCGTACTACCTGAGGCAGGAGCGGGACGGCCTGCTGTTCGGCCCCTACGAGAGGGAGGAGAAGATGGTGCTGCAGGACTCATGGCTCAGAGATGGAGTTCCTCCAGGTGCAGCAAAGGGACCACCCTGAGTATTCTGACCTAACCGGAGCCACTAAGCACAGGCTCCAAATTATTGGGAGTTTATTTGTTTATTGTACCTTAGGCTTAATGTATAGTTATTAATTTGAATATGTATTATCCAGAACATACTATTAAATCATTTGCTTACTACTGTCAAACTAGGCTTAAAGGGGAATTACACTGATTGTATAATTCAGTGGTTGAGTTGCAAACAAAGTCATTCAGAATGGTTTGGTGTAAAATAGTTCATTGTAGAGAAACTTACAGGCTCAGATCTCTTTACAGTGGTGGTGATGGGAACCAGGGGTCACAATGTCTACAACACAAACATAGCCATTTGATTTACTCTCCAAATGAACCTACATGTGTCTTCTGAGTTTTTATATGTAATGCTGATGATGGTAAAATAGTGATAAATCTGAAAATATAAGTTTTCTTTGGGGGCTGTTTGCCTTATAACACCCTGCATGTACTACTCCAATGAATGTACTTTAAAAATATATATGTTTTAGGGCAAAATGTTATTTAAAAAAAGGCTTTAGGCAGCAAATAGTAACTATTTCATGTAATAACTTTCTGTGAGGGAGCTTTACGGGGCATTAAACTCTTCAAATGTCTGGTTATTATCACAACCACTGCAAACAATTTTATCTCTAAGTTTTTCTAGAACAGAGTATTTCACACCAAACTCTGAGCGATGTAAAGGTTCAATTGTGCAGAATTTTAAAAAATCTGGTGGAATTCCCCTTCAAGGACTTAATTTGTGTATCCATTAAGCGCAGGGTGCATTAATTAATTGTGAGGATTAAGGATTACTTACTTTCCTGATAATACTCGCTTAAAATGCTTTTAAACGTCGACTGTGTTGTGTGTCCGTGTGTTGTGTGTATGCCTGCGTGTCACGGTAAAGGTTTCGGAAAGGAGCTGTTTGAGTCTGATCTGGACCGAATAATGGACCATGTGGAAATGGCTATGGAGATGGTTCCTGTCCTGAAGCACGCTGACATCATTAATATCGTATCTGGACCAATCACATACACTCCAGACCTGCTGCCCATGATTGGGCCGCACCAGGGGGTCCGCAACTACTGGACCGCTATTGGCTTTGGGTAAACACTAAAAACACTGTCTGCTTGTTTAGTGCCTTCACACCCGAATCCGAGCTCTCCTCCACGCTTGTTGAACTGTCCTTTGATTTTAATGGCTATTTGGGCAATATGACAATATTTATTGTGATAAGTTACATTACAGATGCTTTTCTGAGCGTATCATGGATATCGTTAGTCACTTCCCAACTGTATAGATTGTAAGGAGAGCATAATTAGTCCTGTTTAATTGGATTTCATGCAACGCAGTGTGTGAAAAGTTTAATACAAGTTATTTTATTCATAGTTTCTCAGAGGATTCAGAGGAAAGCGAGTGCTAGGCTTCACCCTCCCAGCTTGATAGCATCATGTGATAGTGAGTGGATGGAATTACCCATGACCAGGGGTCAGCAACCCAAATGATAAGAATGGCCATTTTGTCCTTTCACCAACAATTAAACCACCTTGGGAGCCACAACATTTTATGTCCATTTTATTGAATTAACGTTTTTACCATCTTGGCTGAAAATAAGTCTTAATATTTGCTAAAGAGTAAAAAATGTAATATAAATCTAAACTCAGACTTACTTTGCTCTGCTTTAAGCTTTAGCTCAGCTATAGCCGCTTTTCTCGCATCTCCAGCAGGAAACTTTTCTGTAAAAGTGGAATAGTTTCTTGTAAAATGTCTCTCAGCGATTGATTTTTTACGAGGATGAAGTCGGTTCTCATTCGCCAGATTCTTGTTCTAAAAACTGCTGCACCATTTAAGGTGGAACGAGAAAATTCAAACAAGAGGCTGGCGAACAAGAATCTGACTCGTACTTTTTTAGTGTTTGACAGTTTCTCGTTGCAGATTAGACGTATCAGGAAACCAGCTGGAGTGATTATAAATGTAAATAAGTCCATTCGTCTCCAAATTATTGATATTTGTTCTAAATCTTTCTCTTCGCCATTTCGTTAGCTACGAGCTAGACGAGACTGTTGTCTGCGTTGCTATGCTGACCAGCAGTCTGCGCACCAACCTTCAGGGTTAAAGGGTGAATTAGCAGTTCTACTTTAACTCCAGTGTTTAAGACCATTTACTGTTAAACTGTGTTGAACGATCAGCAGAGCTTTATTTTACTGTAAAGGAGGATTATTTTATTTTTACCTACAAATCTGATTCTGCTGTGGAGCCACAACAGGGCAGTAAAAGAGCGGCGTGCTGCCGACCCCTGCCCGTGACTAAGCTGTGGAGAAAAATGTATCACAGAAAATGTTATGAATTTCAAAAACGAGCCACATGACTGCATGATTTGATTAATACGATTGATATTTCAGGTATGGCATAATTCATGCTGGTGGTGTTGGAAAGTTCCTCAGCGACTGGATCATGAGCGGTGAGCCTCCTTATGATCTGATTGAATGCGACCCAAACCGCTATGGAAAGTGGACCACTGCGCCATACTTGTGTGCCAAAGCCAGAGAGTCGTACGGCTTTAACAACGTGGGTAAGCAACAACTCAGCACAGTCACAGCATGGCACAGCGCTCTGAAGTTGTAATGCACAGCTCAGGAGGTGGTGATACAGAAAGTGAAGGCTGCTTCTGTGATAGTTTTGAAATAAACATTATGGCTCCAATGTACTTTTTAAAATCCATAAATGGTAGAGAGATGCATGTAGAGTGTTATAAAATCTTCCCCAAAGAAAACATTTTTTTTCCATATTTACCACTGTTATACCGTCATCAACATTACATATGAGCACTAATAAGACTCGTGTAGGTTCACTGGTGCTTTTGGATAGTAAATAAAATGTCTATATTGGTGTTGTAGACATTGTGACCCCTGGTTCCCATCACCACCACTGTAAAGAAGTCTGAGTTAGTAAGTTTCTCTACAATCAACTGTTTCACATCAAACCAATCTGAATGACGTTGTTTACATATCAGTCATTGAAAAATGCAGGCATTTAGAAAAAACTGGTGGAATTGTCCTCTAACTTTAGAGACACACTGATCAATAGATATGCGGGGTGTTGCTGCGCCCAAATAAAGAAAATTACAGAAACCTTCACGCCTGTAAAATGACCATCCTCTTCTTTTCATCTCTTAAGATCGCTTGATATTTTCATTTCATCCATATTTGAGATTTACACACTATGATAGTTTTTCCTGTTAAGCAAACAAATTACAATCACAAGACCTCCACACAAGAGGTGGTTCTGTAGAATCACATGCTTTCACTTTTCATTGGCTATGCTGTGGAGTGTTTGGTCCAGAGCCCGCACCCACCATCGGGGTTGCCAGGTTTGTGGTTTTCCTGCCAAATTGGGCTACGCTGAAAATACGGTCATATGAGAAAATAATAAAGTGTCAGGTTTTAGAGAACGACCTTTTAAGCAAACTATGGGTTGGTGATGTTTGCTGGACCTGGCAACCCTGCCCTGCATAGACAATGCTAAAAATGATGCTAAAGATTTGTTGACTTCTTAAAAAAACAGTGTTACACAGAAAAAGATCCTTGAAGATATTAAATTTGAAATTTGGAGCGTTGAATCTTTGGTCATTATTTTAATATTGATTTAAGTTATGGGTAAAATAATATAAAGAGTGACGCTGCCAGCTGCATCTCTTGCTGCAATACTGTGCCAAAGTTTTGTGCATATGAGAAAATTACATTTTTAAAAACTATTTATCAGGGCATTCATGTGTTTATGTTGAACAAAAAACGTTCCACAACTTATTGTGGTATTTGCTCTTCTTTCAAATCTATAGATAAAAGTGATATAATTGCATCACTTTTGTCAAAACAAAGAAAATTAGATATTTAATGTGTTCTTACTCAGGAAAATGTTAGAACATCCTTTGCCCTAATAGCTGGTTTTTCCCCCTTTGGCTGAAATAACCTCAATTTGACTTTTCCTATGACCATCTATTAGGCTTTGACGTCAAATGGGAGAAAGTTTTTCCCACTCCTCCATGCAAAATTCCCTCAGCTGTGGGATGTTTGAGGGGTTTCTTGCATGCACAGCCTGTTTCAAATCACCCCACAGCATCTCAGTAGGATTAAGATCCTGGTTTTGACTTGGCCATTCCAGAACTCTTCATTCCTTTCTTTTGAGCCACTGCTTGGTGGATCTACTGGAATGTTTTGAGTCATTGTTGTGTTGCATGCTTCACCTCCGCTTCAGTTTTTGGACAGATGGTCTCACATTTTCCTCAAGCACACTCTGATACAATAAACAATCCATAGTAGATTCTATGATGGAGAGCTCGCCAGGCCCTGCTGCAGCAAAGCAGCCCCAAACCATGACACTGCCACCTCCATGCTTCACAGTTGGTATGAGGTTCTTGAGCTCAAATGCTGTGCTTTGTGCCAAACATGTCTTCTGTTACTGAGCCCAAACAATTAAACTTTGGATTCATCTGTCCAAAGCACATTAGGCCTCATTCACCAACCATTCCTAAGAAGAAATTTCTTCTTAAAACCCGCTTTTCAAAGTTTTCAAAGATTTGACATTCATCAATGTTTTCTTCGACGTGTTTCTTTGGGATTTGTTCTTAGGTAGAAACAGAATCTACACGCATTTAAAAGCACAACGGTGCGAACAATTTTACAGTTTAAGAACGCGTCATGAATCTGATGCAGGCTGCTTCTTAGGACCTTTCTGAAGAACAAATTTAATAAAAAACTAAAAAAGGAAGATATTGGTTTTCCTCCTTGCACACCTCCCATGAAAATCAAAAGTCCTGTGATGACTTTTTAGGATTGTTGGACGTCGTTACACATTTCGCATCTTTCTACTCTTCGTCTGAACTTGTCAGGACGGCCTGACCTGACTGTGTTGGCAGTTGTTTTAAATGTTCTCCACTTGTAAATCATTTTCCAGATAGCAGAATCGCTGATTTCTAATTGTTTTGGGGTCTTTTTAAATCCCTTCCCAGGCTCATATGCATCTGCAACCTTCTTTCTGAAGGCCTCAAAGAGCTCTCTGGATCTCGCTCTCTTTGGATTCCTCCCACTTCAACAAACACAAGTAAACCAAACCAAATGTCTGAGGTTTGAATACGACAGCCTCCTCCAAAATCCTCTCCAACAATGTTGTAATCATTTGCAGCTGATGTGGTGCGTCTGATTTTAGGCATTTTAAGTAGTAATCCATGTGGGGGTGTCTTAACTTTTTCCAAGAAAATTGCATTACCATTAATTAGATTTGAAAAATTATTTTTCAAAGACATTTCTTCAGTTTTATTTGTTTAGCTATGTCATCTCCATCTCTCAATATTGGTAAAATAAAGATCAAACGTCCATATTCTTATAAATATTAAAGAAGATCAAGCTTTTCATGGGGTGCTCTAATTTTTTCACATAACTGGGCTTGTTTTGTTGGTTTCTCAGTGAAAGTAAGTGGAAAATTCTTGGTGAAAAAATAGTTACAGTTTTTTTGCTGAATTTAATATATTAGGAAAAGATAATATAAAAAAATGTGGCCGTGCAAAAGTAATGGCACATTTGATCTTTTGTCTTATTTTTTTCCAATTTGTTAAATTCAGCAAATAAATATTTGACTGGAGGTGTAAAAACCTTTTGTATACTACTGTATAGGTGCGCTTTGTAAGTTTACTGTAGATCATCTGTTGTTGCATCAGCCCCTCTTAACTGTGTCCATCAATCAAAGGAAAGAAACCACCACAGGACCACTGCTGACCACATATTATTTAAGTGGTGGTTCATTCTCAGTCCTGTGGGGGTCCGTGTCCACTGATTGATAAAGGGGGTGAAACATTGTTCAGTAACAGATGGGCTATAGTACAACATGAATGAAATCTTTATCTGTTTGTCTTTCTGTCTTTCTCTCTCTGTCTGTCTCTCTCTCAGTGGGTTATCCTAAAGAGGAGCGATTTGCTGGTCGCCCCACTAGCAGAGTGAGTGGACTTTATGATCTGCTGAAGGACGAATGCTCCATGGGCTTCCATGCGGGCTGGGAGCAGCCACACTACTTCTACAAGGCAGGAGACGATGTGGGCTACAGGTAAAGTACAAACTTAACACACGTATCTGAAAATACGCACTACAACACACTTACCTGCACGCTGTAGCCGCTTGTGTTCATCACACGCCTTCCTAAACCAAAGAACTGCTGAAAAGCCTTCATTCACTTTTTTTTTCTCTTTTATTCTTTTTCTTTTTTTTTACAGTACTGTGAAGAAGTTTAAAACAAAGTTTAAAACATTTCATCTCACCAGTCTCTTTTCGCTGGTGAAGAAACAACCCGAACTAGTTGAAAACACATTTCGGACTTTTTAAGCTATGTTCACATTACAAGCCTAATTGCTCAAATCCGATTTTTTGCTCAAATCCGATCTCTCTGACACAATGGTTCACACTCGTTTAGGTAAGTGGTTCAAATCTGTCATTAATGTGACGAACCGGCGTCCTGAAATGACCCTCATGCTCACATCCTACTCAGTAACATCACGTGAATGAATCACGTGCATCATCAGCACAAACTAACGAGCAGAATGAGCTTCGGATACGAATCCGATCTAGGACCACATATGAAAGTGGCTCACCCAGCATCAGTACCTGACCTCACTAATGCTCAATCAAATCCTCACAGCAATGTTCCACCATCCAGAGTAATTTGCCATCACTTATACCTCCTGTTTTTGCTAAGTGTGATTTCCTCGGTGTGTAAATGTGTGTTAGGATTGTGTTATTCTTTGAGGAATTGGAGGCAAACTGGCAGGTTCTGCTTCGCTCCTCTGCTGTAGTGTCTCTCTCTCTCTCTCTCTCTCCCTCTCTCTTTCGCTCTCTCTCTCTCTCAATTCCCTTCCACACTGAAGACACTGGGATCTAAACAATCTCGTCCTGTGTGAAGGCGTAAAATGAGTAGCAGTGATTATTGGCTTTCTATGAGCTGCAGATTTGAGGCTCCGTGCTGTGCTGCTGTTTTCTGCTACAAAATTCACCATTCATCACTCAGCCAAGTAACTCAGTTCCCAGAGAAATGGCTGCGTTTCTGCATTCAACAAGCACCGTAGGCACAGCAATAATAATATGCATGGTTTTGGCTCTCTGCAGTGGACGTCTCTCTTTTGGGCTTGAGTAATAACAGCTTCAGTTGTTCAGGGATGTCATTATCTTGACTCTGAGGCCCGTCTCACCTTCTCACTGTCAGTACTAGAATCTTACATTTACCCTATTATAGAAAATGTACAATGCAACCTATAGTTATAGATGTAATCAAATATCTGGCCAAATTGTTGAGCACTAACAATAAATTGCATTTAGAACAATAAAAGACCTACACTATAGTACTACTTGTTCACTTGTCCAGGGTTTCTTCTGAAATGAAGGGTATTAATAGTGAGTTTGTCCCTCTTTGCTGCAGTAACAGCCTCTACTCTTCTGGGAAGGCGTTACACTAGATGCTGAACATTGCTGTGAGGATTTGATTGAGCATTAGTGAGGCTGGGTACTGATGTTGGATGGTCGGTCCTGGATCACTCCAACTCAGCCCCAAGGTAGTGGATGGAGCTCCATCACTCCAGAGAACACAGTTCCACTGCTCCACAGCCCAATGCTGGGGGGCTTTATACCCCTCTAGCCCACACTTGGCATTGGACATGGTGACCTTAGGCTCATGTGCAGCTGCTACAGAGTGTCTTATTCTATTGGTCAATGCTTTTCTATGGAGATTATACAAACTGTTGAACACCTGTGTCAGCAGTGGGTGCACCTTAAAGCATCTGAATGTACTTTTCAGAAGGGGGTCTGCTTTTGGATTTTTTTATTTGGGAAGTCGTATATGATCAGTAGACCCAGACACTGTCCTATGCAGACCTGGACCTGTAACCGATAAACTATGGAGAACTATTTCATTTCGACGGGGTGGTCCTATTTTAATCGGTGTAACTTTTCTAGCCCCTATGGTAGCTTTAGCGGCCCAGGAGACTCACAGACCAATCGCATGCGTTGTAAATATCACACGTGATGCTACTCAACCAATCAGATCTGTGCATTACGATGAGCGCTGAGACTCGAATGAGTGATGCACACACAGGGGGGGGACGAGGTGAGAGACAGCAGTCGGAGAAGAAAGTGAGTCAGAGGGAAGTTATTTCACATGGTGTGATCTAAAAAGAGAAAACTGACCATAAATGTTGTTGAAATATGACTGAATTGTACTTTATTTGATTTGATATTCAGTTGTTGACTGTATAAGATGTTGATATACCTACTAGGCTACTTCAGTAAACAATATATGGCACTGAATCATGATGCAAGTTAGACATTATGATGTTCCGAACCTTTGCTTGGGGATATTTTCTCTAACTGGACCTCATTGAATTTTAATTAAAGACCCCTGGTTTAGACAAACTACACATTCTCAAACTGTTATTAAACTTAATCAATTTCAGTGAATTGAGGTAAGATTTAAGGTGTGTGCTAATTAAGATGAAGGTTTGTAGTAGCTATAATATAATGCACTAAAATAAGAGCTGTAGTTAAACACAGACTTAACTTTAGTTAAAGGGGAATTCCATTGATTTGTCAAAATTTCTCCATAATGCAACTGAGATGTCAACAAAGTCATTCAGAGTGGTTTGGTGTCAAATGCTCTGTTGTAGAGAAGCATAGTGAGTCAGAATTGTTCACAGTGGTGTTGATGGGAACCAGATGTCTGAAGAGTTTAATGCCTCTAAAAGCTCCCTCACCGAAAGTTACTGCATGAAGTGGTTATGAATGCCCTGCCTGGTATCTGACATATCGTTCATGGTGGAAAGTACATGTAGGGGATTATGAGGCAAAACAGCCCCCAAAGAAATGTGATTTTTTTTTTGTATTGTTATTTGCATCATCAAAATTACAAGTAAAACACTAAAAAAAGACACTTGTAGGTTCACTGGTGGTTTTGCCCTGAAAAAGGCTGTATGTCGGACGCAAAAGCTTCAACACCCAAATGACAAGTTTTGTTGTTTTTCTGTGAAAGTCAAAATAAATTAACCCCCCCCTACAGGGAACATGGCATTTCTACTGATTTTAGGGCACAATTTCTATTTATTTAAAATGTGAAAAATAAAACACAAAATATAAAATGTGCCATAACTTTTCCACAAACCACATTTCATATTTCATGTTTATTCTTTTCAACATGTTAAATTCAGCAAATAAACAGTAATTGCGCATTAACATGTTTGGAAGTCTGTTCTCTGTAGAGGAACTTACTTTCTCAAAATCAACAAAACGTAATATGACTAGGTGTGCCAAAACATTTGCATACGATTGTATGTGTTATAGACATAGTGACCTCTTGTTACCATCACCACCACTTTAAAGAAATCTGATTCTATTAATTTCTCTACAGTAACCTAGTTCATATCAGTGGTGGAATTGCTTTGAAATTTTGAAAAATCTGTGGAATTGTCCTTTAAAGGCTTACACTGGTAAAGCCCTGATATTAAATGTAATCTAAATACATTTTGGTGATTAGACTACTCAAGACTGTCACTTGGCCTTGTCTTCTGTAAAGATTATCCTGAATCCTTTAAGTTCTGTTAAAATTCTTTGCCCAAAAAACATTAAATCCGTGTTTGTTGTCACCAGGTTTAATAACTTGACCTCGCCTGGCTGATTTGTCATGTCTTCAGTGAGGGATGCACACAGCAGAAATCCATAGTATCTGTCTTCTGTGGATGTCATTAGTACACAATGGAGGATGTTTGTCATTTTGTGCGTGTTTTGCATTGTTTACATAAACAAAACACCTAAATGTGAACTACACTGTAAGTAAGCTGCGCTACTCTGTTTCTCTACAGGCCCAGTTTTAAAAGGACAAACTGGTTTGGACCGGTGGGACGTGAGTGCAAGCTTGTGATGGAGAAAGTGGGCGTCATTGACCTTTCACCTTTTGGCAAGTTCATAGTCAAAGGGAAAGACTCGCACAAGCTGCTGGACCGACTGTTCGCCAACACCATGCCAAAGGTGAGAGACAGAAGGAGATTAAAAAAGGGGATTTGAACACTGCGGTGCTGATGCTGGTGTTTTGTTTTGTTTTCCATGCTTGTCAGGTAGTTCTGTTCACCTCCTAAGACATGTTGACAAAGGCTCAGTCCCATTCCTTATTTTTACCCCTACCCCTTGTTTTCGAGTGTCACCTTGCCCCTTGAAACTGAGTTACAAGGGGTAGTGGTTGAAATCTTCCTCTATGAAACGGGACCCTCAAATGAAAAGAGCATTACTTCTTTAACAGCTACCAGCGCTGCTCTGTAGGCGACCCTGCCAGTCTGCAGTGACAGCAGAGGAGGGTAAAGTTGAGCTCCTCACTGCTGGGCTTTAGTTACATTTAGGGCATCATATGCCTTCAAAGAGGGGGGCAATTATTTATTATCGCCCACCCCAAATTCTTCAGTGATATGAAGCTGAAGTCAGATATTCACCAGCTTCTTGTTTGAATTTTCACGTTCCACCTTAAATGGAGCAGCAGTTACATTCTGGCGCTTCAGGTGTCAGAACTGCTGGAATATTTAAGGTGGAACGGGAAATTTAGTTAGCTAGCTACCGAGACATTAGCATTCTATTAGCGATTTTTTATGCTTGTTGTGAAGAAAACGACCATAATACACTGAAACAACATTAAACTAAGATAATACAGTGGTTATTGAAATTTTTATGATTTTATTTTTTAAATTCTCACATTTGTGTGTTTCTTTGGTCTCCGTTTGGAGGGTCATGTAGCCCTAACACTTCGCCCCACCCCTCTATCTCAACAAACATCGGGACACCCTACCCCTAATCGTGACCGCACAAAACAGAGGGGTAGGGCTAAGTGGTGGGGCGAGGGGTGAAATGGGATTGAGCCAAAGTCCTCAAGTGCTTTGTTGTCAGAGATGTGGTCAGGTAGAGTAGCTGTTTTCTATTTTGGTATCTTCCCAACATTTTCCCTGTTATTCAAATGCACATAATGCAGCCAAGGCTTACAGCTGTAAGGAAATGTCTACGGTCACATCATTAAAATACGTTTAAAACAGAAAGATCTGTTTACCAGCGACCACTGAAATGTCCTTTCCTTCGCCACAATGACAGGGAAAAAGGACAGTCAGAAACTTAAAGGCCACTTCCAGAGCAACTTGAAGGGACGTTTTAGTGCAGGATGTCATATATAATCATTTAAACGGCACATGAAGGCAGTGTTAGACGGGTCCTTTTTTATTGGACTCCGTACACAAGCTATATATTCTAAACTTATTATTAAACTTTGTAGTGAATTTGGAAATGCAGCTCTCTGCCTCACTTTGAAGAACTTCAGAATAATCTGGCCGGTAGCTTTAGGAATGAAGCCAGACTTCGGCCTATATAGTGAGGGAGTCTTTCATAGCTTACAATGGCTAAGATCCACCTACTTCAATAGGAAAGAGTCGAGGGTCGTTTGACTGACGTGCAAAATAACCTACCACGGACTGTTTGTTTGTTTGTTTGTTTGTTTGTTTGTTTATTTTTTTTTGCCCTCCACCACACCCTCTCACTAGAAGACTACTAAAACTTTATTTTTATTAGTAATGTATTCATGAAGGAGGACATGGAAGCACAAACAAACAAACAGAAAAACAACAGTAAAAGAAAGAAAAAAAGATAATACATAAAAAATTAATATCACGGTGACACTTTATTTTGAGTCCTTTTAGATGAAACAAACACTCAACAGACTCTCAGTAACGTCAACAACATATGAGGGTTAGGATTAGGTTTTGTGTTGAGGTTAAGATTAGGGTTAGGATTAGGGTCAGGGTTAGGATTAGGTTTTGGGTTGAGGTTAAGATTAGGGTTAGGATTAGGGCCAGGGTCAGGGTTAGGATTAGGTTTTGGGTTGAGGTTAAGATTAGGGTTAGGATTAGGGCCAGGGTTAGGATTAGGTTTTGGGTTGAGGTTACGGTTAGGGTTAGGGCCAGGGTCAGGGTTAGGATTAGGTTTTGGGTTGAGGTTAAGATTAGGGTTAGGATTAGGGCCAGGGTCAGGGTTAGGATTAGGTTTTAGGTTGAGGTTAAGATTAGGGTTAGGATTAGGGCCAGGGTTAGGATTAGGTTTTGGGTTGAGGTTAAGATTAGGGTTAAGATTAGGGCCAGTTTTAGGATTAGGTTTTGGGTTAAGGTTAAGATTAGGGTTAGGATTAGGGCCAGGGTGAGGGTTAGGTGTTGGGTAAGGTTGGTAAGGTTAGGTTTTGTGTAATGGAAATAACATATTAACAACACATCTACTTAATGTCTCAACAACAGAACAACAACTGTATCAACAGAACATCTACAAGATATTTTCTTCAGTGTATTCAGATGCTTCACTACTGCTACTTCACTGATATGCTGTTGATGTGTTACTGATAATCTGTTAAAAGTTTATTAATCATAGTGTTTATTAATCAAGTGTTACCATAATCATAATAATAATAATGAGAAAATAAGCAAAGGACTTAAATGAGAAGCAAACATTAACAACACTAATAGTGTCTATGACATGATGATTGTCATAGTAGTGCAGAGATAGAATTGCGTGTGTGTGTGTGTGTGTGTGTGTGTGTGTGTGTGTGTGTGAGTGAGTGAGATAAAGAAGGGATAATAGTTTATGATTGTGAAGATATTTTATGTATAGGGTAATTTGAAACTGGGTGTTCCAACTGTTATTTTTATTGTGATGTGTAGGAACATTTTAAACTGAGGCTACAGCAAAAATGATCCCACAGGAAACCAATTTAAATAAAAACAAACCAAACACGCTTTCAGACGATCCCTGTACGTCTGAGAGGAGCGTCTGAGGCTGAGACGAGGCTTTCTTTCCCAATCCATCAGCAGTCTTTGGCTTTAAAGCTGTTCTTTGTTGAAAGTTGTTTTTGGTGTCTTTATCCATAATTATGGTGCCTTTAATGTTCTGTGTTTGTGTGTTTGGTGTACTGAGCTGAACTAAACAGTGGTTTTGTTTTTTTTTGATGTTGCTCTTTTGCGGGTGTTTGATGTTGTCACTGTGGTCAGGTGGGACTGACCAACATCAGTCACATGTTGACTCCGAGGGGGCGCGTCTACGCTGAGGTCACCATAACCCAGCTTGCACCTGGAGAATTCATGCTCATCACTGGCTCAGGATCAGAGCTGCATGACCTCAGGTGAGTCCCTCACGCTGTGTGGATGTGCGTGCGCGTGTGCATTTGATGTTTGACATTAAAGCAATTGGAAAACAAAGTCAGTAGTGCAGATTTAAACCTGTCTTATAGAATGTAAATCAAATGGGAATGTAAATCATCACAGACTCTTTCATAACAGATTTTGCTTACAAACCTCAGCTCCAAAATAGTTCGGACGGTATATCGCTGTTGGCGGAAGAAAACCTTGTATCTCCAAAATGATAACTTTACAGGAGAAGGAAAAAACATACTTTACTTTTAATGTAAGTCAATGGAACCAGACTTTTTTCCAAGTAATTTTAGGCTGTTTCTTTTGGTCCATTCAGTATAAAATTCGCACACAATGTAAAGGACAACAGGCATTTTTAAATTATGTCAAAAACTGAAAAATGACAAAAATGGAGATACAAGGTTTTCATCCGACAGCAGCGATATGTAACGCTAAAAAAAACAGAAAGCAGTGATTAGTAAAGTCTTAGACCTGCATTAAAATGAAAACAGTACAAAAACGTAATGTGTGATGTTCTACTTTTCGGACTCTTTTTAATTTATATACATACACTCATCCCAAATTTGATGCCTGCAGCACTTTCCAAAACGTTGGGACAGGAACACGCTCACCTTCTTTCCTTATAACACATCGGTTGGAGACTGAAGACAACAATTAATCTAGTTTTGGAAGTGGAATTTTCTGCCGTTGTGCCATTAGAAAATCTTCAGCTGCACAGCTTTACGGGGCCTTCGCTGATGTGCTACTGGGTTTCAAAAGGAGACGGGTCTGGACTGCAGGCAGGCCAGTCTAGCTCCCTCACTCCCTTATTACACAGCCATGCTGTTGTAACACAAGCAGAATGTTTTGATGAAATAAGCATGAACGTCCCTGAAAAAGACGGCGTCTAAAAGGCAGCATATGTTGTGCCAAAGTGTGCATTCTTCTTAGTGTTAATGGTACTTTCACAAATCTGCAAGTACCCACTAAAACACCACCCCCCCCCCACCCCTACCCCCAATAACAGAACATTTCCCAAGTTTTGAACTTTACGCTGGTAAAAATTTAGATGGTCCTTCTCTGTTTTGGCCAGGAGAACACGTCCAATATTTCCATACTCAATCAGAAAGGTTTAAGGCGATGTTGACATATGACTTCTGCTGTGCATAGTACAGTCTCACGTTGCATTTGTATGGTGGCCAAGAAGACCCAACAAACTGCAGATAAAAAACGAGCTGCAAAATGCAGAAAGCACTTTCATCAAAATGACGACACCAATGCTAAACTTCATAAACGTGCTGCAAATACAGAAAGACATGCAGCTTCAGAAACGCTGATAAAGCAGTCATGTTTTGGAACATGTTGCAGACATCAATGTTATCAGTCAAGTTGATAAAATAACACATTATATATTTTGTTCTTATACTGTGTTTGATTAAATGCAAAAGTGGATTGACAAATCACTCAATACTTTGTTTTTATTTGCATTTTATATACTGTACCAACTTTATCTGAATTGAGGTTTGTACACAGAGCATGGTAAATGAATATGTGTGCTTTATTATTGATTAATTATTAAATAATTTATTTAAAACGCCTTTGTTTTCGACTTAAAACAGGCATTACTAATTGAGGTTTTAAACTCCCTGTACAACCTCTCCCTGTCTCACTATGTGCCAGATTCATGGCCAACAGGACACTCATTTTGCCCGCGGCATACTGTCGGGACCAAGGGCTGTCCCCTTCAACCCCAGGCCTCCAACATAATATTATGAATAAAAAGAAATCTTTTAACACCGGCTAAACATTTTCACTAATAGCTGTTTTAAGTCTAAGTTCTCAAAAGATGTCATAAAGGAAAGAGTCTTCAGACGCTGAGTTTGTGGAAAGAGGGAAAAAGGCTTCTTCTTTATTTCAGCATTAAGTTGCTCAGGGTCTCGAGACCCAACTGCGCAAACAGTGTTCTAAACAGCAGTTTATACCATTTATATGGGGTAGTTTGATATCCCCCCGCCTTACTTCTCAAATTCTGATATTAGCTCATTCTCTAATAGGTGCATCTCTTCGTCCATCAGTTTGGCCATCGCATGTTGCGCTCACTCCTAAAAACTGGTTTCAACCGGTTTTTACCAGTCTGCTCTACCTTTCAAGGTCAACTTGCCCCTCTCTTCACTGGGTCAGTAGGTACTCTCTGTGAACCCAGGGGCTTTCCAGTGTCTAGAATCTCCTATGCAGACAGACTAAGGTCTACCCTTTATGAGAGAATGAGTATTCTCTGTTAGCCAATACTGCCTATTTGATTATTGATTACAATATCTAATCTATTTGAAAACTGAAAAAATCTCCGTCAGTACTTATGCGTGTTTAGCAGTGTTCTGACCTGTGGTTGTAAATGGAGAGTGACCGTGTTCAGTGCGTGTGCCCTATTTTAGAACTTAGAAATTTAAAGCTGTAACTTGCTGCTTGCATAGCTGCTCTCCACTCTGCTCAGATTTAGCTCCATGTATGTGCTTAGAGTGACCCCTAGTGGATGGATCTAGACACATCAGACGTGTCTTGTGGTGTTGTTCAGTTGAAGTGAAGGGACGTGCAGGATTGCCAATGCTAGAGTAAACTGTAGAAAATATTTGTTTATATATGCTCTTAAAAGATGGTTCTTCAAGGGTACTTTAGTAAAGGGAATGGTTCTATATAGATCCATGCTTAAGTGGTTCTTTGCATGGTGAAATGGTTGTTCAGATTGATGGTGAATGTGCTGTATATGGTCCTATATAGAACCTTTTTGAAAATGGTTCTGTGTAGCACCAAAAAGGGTTCTCCTGTTATTACAAGCTTGACATCCTAACAATAGAAGGACCTTTTTGGTGGAAGTTGTTAACAGAACTGTAGTTTCTAAAATGACTGCAATAACTGAGTAACATTGAGAATGAAGTTCTAATGAAATTAACATCCAGAATGCCTTTCATTTGAAAAGTGATCAAATCTTGAGGTTATGACGGAATTACTGTAACCTCCAGTCAAATGACATTTTGCACAATATAATGCATTGTTTCTGAGTTTAACGTATTGAAAAATATATTAATTTAATCAAATAAACAATAATTATTCATTAAAATGTGCAGAAGTTTGTTCTCTGTAGAGGATGTGTTCACTTTCTTTCACTTAGAAAATCGACATCATTTGGCCAGGGGCGCCGAAACTTTTGCATATGACTGTATCATTTAATAACTTCTCATTGTTCCCAGAAAACCTGAAATATGAACTTATAGTATCTCGATCCACACTGTGTAAGTTAAAATTGAATAAAACAACAGCAATTAATAGAATGACGATTGGTCTGCTGCACTTTTGAATGGTAGTGCATATAAACGCAAAAAGATAAAGAAAGAAAGGTGAAATTTAAGAAACAAATAATTGATTTCTTATTTTTGTGACTGGTTACCAATCTCTCTCTCTCTCTCTCTCTCTCTCTCTCTCTCTCTCTCTCTCAGATGGATAGAGAGGGAGGCAGCAGATGGCGGGTACGAGGTGGACATCACTAACATAACAGACGATATCGGAGTGTTGGGGGTGGCTGGGCCAAACTCTCGTAAAGTCCTGCAAAAGCTGACCAGTGAGGACCTGAGTGACGGCGAATTTAAGTTCCTTCATTGTAAATCCATTCAGCTGGCCGGCGTCCACCTGCGGGCCATACGCATATCCTACACAGGTAAGAACACGGGGAATTTCCACTCACGCAGCAACCAAAATGTACCTGTAAGTGCTTTCTGTGAAATGTTTTACCTTATTATTCAAGCATGTGCAATTAATATGACCCAGTAATTAATGTATACTGTCACTGCTGCAACAAAACCTCAGACCTCTGAAATGGAAAGTGTGGGAGAGGGAAAAAAACATTTCAGGGGCACGTATTGTATATTTTTCACGTATCTCATTTTTTCAACCTGATATTCACTTTCCCCTGGTGTAATTAATTTTTTCATGATCATTTTTCAACCTCTCTTTATCCTGTTACTGTGCCTTTAAGACTGAGGTATGTAAATTACCTACGTTCTGATTGGCTGTCCTTTATTGTTCCTCGTTAAAAAACTGTCCAGCCTGAAACACTCAGTGGGCGGAGCTAAATAGCTGAAGAGACAAGTATATATAAAGCACAATAACAAAAAATTCAAAACTGGTTTATTTTTAAGCTTAATTTCCATAAATGGGCTGTAAGAACTGGGGAGTGAACGTCATGTTAAGACGTTTTGATATGACAGGAATGACCTTCAGTTCTGTAGAATTCGGATTTTAAAATAAGTTCAAAAAGTAATGTTCATACATCCCGAGACGACTCCTGTGTGACTATATGACCCACTCCCATTCCTTATTTACCACAGCCCCTTGTTTTTGAGTGTCAACTTGCCCCTCAGAACTGAGTTACAAGGGGTAGTGATTGAAATCTTCCCTCTGAAATGGGACCCTCAAATAAAAAGAGCATTACTTCATTAACAGCTACCAGCGCTGCTCTGTAGGCGACCCTGCCAGTCTGCAGTGACAGCAGAGGAGGGTAAAGTTCAGCTCCTCACTGCTGGGCTTTAGTTACATTTAGGGCATCATATGCCTTCAAAGAGGGGGGGCAATTATTTATTATCACCCACCACTAATTCTTCAGTGATACGAAGCTGAAGACAGTTTTATTCGTCAGCTTCTCATTTGAATTTTCCCGTTCCACCTTAAATGGAGCAGCAGTTACATTCTGGTGCTTCAGGCATCAGAACTGCTGGACTATTAAAGATGGAACGGGAAAGTTAGCTAGCTAGCTACCGAGACATTAGCATTCTATTAGCAATTTTTTATGCTTGTTATGAAGAAAAGGACCATAATACGTTGAAACGACATTAAACTAAGATATTACAGTGGTTATCGTCATTTTTAAAGTAGAATTTGTGGGTTTCTTTGGTCTCTTGCTCAGCCATCCTGCCGTTTTCCTCATATCACTCTGTTTGGAGTCTCTGAAAAACCTCCGTTTGGAGGGTCATGTAGCCCTAACACTTTGCCCTACTCCTCTATCTCAACAAGAATTGGGACACCCTACCCCTAGGTATAAGCATATTCATATCTTTGCATGTGTTCTAAGGGGAGCTGGGCTGGGAGCTGTACGTGGACATGCCAAAGATGGCTGAAGTATACCAGGCCATAATGGAGGCCGGGCAGGAAGAGGGCATTGATAACTTCGGCACTTACGCCATGGCTTCACTCAGGCTGGAGAAAGGCTTCCGAGGCTGGGGGGCCGAGGTCAGACACACACATACAAACACACAGTCAGGGTAGAAAGAAGAACCGAGAACTCAAAAACACTTAAACACATTGTCCTTCGAAAGTTTGGAAAACACTTGTCATAGTAAACATTTTGTTAAAGGGGAATTCCACTGATTTTTCAAAATTTCCACATTATTCAGTGGTAGAGATGTAAACAAAGTCATTCAGGGTGGTTTGGTGTGAAATGGTTAATTATAGAGAAACTTAGACTCCGATATCTTTACAGTGGTGGTGATAGGAACCAGGGGTCACAATGTCTACAACACAAATTTTGCCATTTTATTCACTATCCAAAACCACCAGTGAACCTACACGAGTCTTCTGAGTTTTGTATGTAATGTTGATGATGATAGAAGAGTAGTAAAACCGATAATGTACCTCTCTGCATTTAATGGATTTTGAAATATGTTGTAGTCCAAAACCTTCTCAAAACTATCATAAAACAGTGTCTCAGACACTGAACAGTGTCATAACCATTTCATGTAGTGACTTTCTGTGAGGGAGCATTTAGAGGTGGACGTCTGGTTCCTATCACCACCACTGTGAACAATTCTGACACAGTCAGTTTCCCTAGAACGAAACGTTTCACACCAAACCACTCTGAATGACTTTGTTTACATCTTTCATTATTCAGTCATTTTGAAATAGCGATGGAATTCCCCATTATTTAATATACATTAATAACCTATGCAATGCTGCTTTAAGTATTATACCAAAAGGTATTTTTAGATGTTCAGTATATAATCAGTATTCAATATTTTGGGAATTTTGGGATCAATAAGAATGTATTAAATGGTAAATCATGTACTGTAAACCTGTTTACTGATGCATATACAGTTTACAGATTGTCAGGTCATCTGACTCAAGATTTGATCTTCACTTGGAATTGGATTTCAATAGATATTACTTTTGTTGTAACTTCCTTTTATTGTTTTACTGCTTTGTCTGTCAGAATTACCTACACTCTCAGAAATAAAGGTACTAAACTGTGTCTTGTCACTGAGGTGGAACCCTCAAAGGTACATCTCAGTACCTTTAGTCAGGGAACATAACTGAACCATAATCCACTGAAATGATATGTTCTAAGCTGTACTGACTCCACACACCCCGTCTCGTCTCCAGGCTTTTATTTTACTGTTCTGTTTTAAAACATTCGGTTATGAAAAAGTACAAATACGAACTTTTCACCTGCAAAAACTTACATAAGGTTCACAACTTGACCTTGAAACCACTGTTGTACCTTTGAGGGGACATTTACACTGTTTGTACCTTAATAAACAAAAAATTTACCTGCTCAGTACCTTTATTTCTAACAGTGTACTGCTCTGTTCATCATTCTAGACAGATCATAAAACATCTCAGCTTCTTTGTACAGCTTCATAGCTTCACACTAATTATTTGATACGTACACAAGACTAACATACTAGACGTATTTTATACGCTTTTCTGCAAATTTGTTTTTATTTTGTGAAAACATTTTGAATAGTAATGTTGAAATCACTCACAATAGTGTATATTAGCTAGGACTAAAAGTTGTATCATAGGCTGATATTCGAAAGTAGTTGTTAGTTGTCCCTGTGAAACTAATGTCTGAACCTGCTTGTTGTTTGACTGTATCTAGATGAATTGTGATACAAATCCTCTGGAGGCTGGTCTGGATTACTTCATCAAACTCAACAAGGTAGCTGTCTTCCAAGTTATTGTTATTATAAGTATTTATACTATTATTATTATTCTTGTTGTTGTTATTGTGTAAGGTTGTGCCAAAAAATCTCCCAAATGGTAAATTTATAGGATAAAAAAACTTTTAACTTTTTAGGTATGTTGATATAACAAGAAATGTACAAAAAATTAGATCATTTCTGTTGGCCCCCTTTCTGAAGTGTTCCCACAGTGTGAAAGGCAGCTGGAGTTACAGAGTTTTCATGTGACAGCCATGATATATTCAGTAAAACTGAGCTGTACTTCTCACATACACACAAAAAAACTGACTGTGGTGTGTCAGCCTGCAGATTTCATTGGGAAGAAGGCGCTACAGGAGATCAAGGCCCAGGGACTAACGAGGAAGCTGGCGTATCTCACCCTGGACACGGACAATATCGACCCTGAGGGCAATGAGACCATCTGGCATGAAGGAAAGGTAAATTCCAGCAATCGTTTAAAAGCACATGACTCCTTTAGCTCAGAAAAGTTGTGAACAGCCCACTAAGAGGTACAGTTTTGAGATCTACATTATTAATAGTGATGCACTGAAGTGAGAATCCTTAAAACTGAAATTCAGGAAACATTCGGACGAAAACCAAAAGCAAAAAAAAAACTGTCAATAAATGAAAACAGTTTGCATAAAACAAACTTAAAATTATATCTGTAAAAATATTGCAGTATGTAGGTTACAGTATGTGCAGCAAAACACAGCATCCTCGACAAAAGAGCTCGGTTGAGCATCCAAGGCAAACCTGTCAGAGTTGGAAAAGTAATCCATTACAAATTACCTTCAAATTTCAAAGGGATTAGTTTACTCATTACTTTCTGGAATACTCATTGCTCTTACATTACTCTACCAACCCAAGCAAATCTGTACCAACTGAAGAGTACAAAAGGCCTCAGTGAGGAAAGGCCTTAAGGTTTTGTCGCCCCCTCTGGCACAAATGGAAACTTAGATGGTCTTAGATATCCTGAAAATGTAACTGGCAAATCTGTGTGGTTTTAAAGGACGTAATTATAGATATTTATTGATAACTTTGTCCCAAAAATTATTTATTGTCCTGGCCCTACACGTCATGCCCCACATGCCCTGGCAGCTATCACTCATTCATTGCTTTCACTAAAAAAGAGGAAAGAATGTTACATTGCTAAAGCAGTAGTACCAGCCGTCTTTTGTTCTATGTGTCATACAGTGTCAGAAACCACATAATCACGTCTGTTTGAGATTATTGAACAACTCCACGTGTTTCGAGGCAAGTGTGTGATGATCTAGACATGCACTTGGTATGCATCATGCTAATTGGTGGGGTATAAGCTTTCCTTAGTTCAGGGGTCGGCAACACAAATGTTAAGAAGAGCCATTTAGTGCTTAAACCTAAAATCAAACCACCTTGGGAACCACAACATTTAATGTAGACTTGCGCAGACTTACTGTGTTCTGCTTTAAGCTTTAGCTCAGCTATAGTCGCTTTTCTCACATCTCCGGCAGGAAACTTTTCCACAAAAGTAGAACAGTTTCTTGTAAAATGTCTCTCAACATTCGACTTTTTACGAGGCTGAAGTCGCTTCTCATTCACCAGCTTCATGTTCGAATTTTCCCGTTCCACCTTAAATGGTGCCTGTGGCGCCAGAATGTAACTCCTGCACCATTTAAGGTGGAACAGGACAATTCGAACAAGAAGCTGGTGAATGAGAAACTGATTACAACTTTTTAGTGTTTGACAGTTTCTCGTTGCAGATTAAACGTATCAGGAAATCAGCAGAGTGCTTATAAACGCAAATAAGTCCATTCATCAAATTATCGACGTTTGTCTTAAATGTCTCTCTTTGCTGTTTCGTGGCAAGATTATGGTGACCAGCAGTGTGCGTGCCAACCTTCAGGGTTAAAGGTCAGTGAATTAGCAGATATAGACTACATTAACTCCAGTGTTTAAGACCATTTATTGTTAAACTGTGTTGAACGATCAGCAGAGCTTTATTTTACTGTAAAGGAGGATTATTTTATTTTTACATACAAATCTGATTCTGCTGTGGAGCCACAACAGGGCAGTAAAAGAGCTCCGGAGCTGCTTGTTACCCACCCCTGCCTTAGTTCTTAGCTGTATTGGCCTTGTAGCTCCAGTGTATAACCAAAGAAACAAATTTTAGACACCAAACATGTCTTGGCTGATTGGCCACATTTAGGGAAACTGTAAATTTGATTCTTTTGCTAAACTATCACTGTTTATATTTTGCGTTCTTTATAACGCAGCACTGTCCAAACTGCACGTTGTCCCATGTGCTCTCTCCAGGTCGTCGGCAACACAACCTCTGGAGCGTACAGCTACTCGACTCAGCAGAGCCTGGCCTTCGGCTACATGCCCATCCAGCTGGCCACCGTTGGTCAGAAGGTAGAGGTGGAGCTCCTGGGAAGGAAATATCCTGCCACAGTTGTCCAGGAGCCTTTGGTCCTCACTGAACCCACCAGGACCCGCCTGCAAAAGAAGGCCAAAAGCAGACCGTGAAACAGGAATGCTAGTTTGGATGAACTGGACCTCATAGAAGTGGCTGGTCAGATAAGAAGAGATGCTGTGTTTGAGAGAGCTTGTGCACTGCATTAATAATGAATGACTATTTTGTATAAAAAACCATATAATATTTTCTTCAGCTGCAACGTTCAAAGGGCTGAACGATTTGGAGAAAACATCTAATTGCTAATGACTAATATTGCAGCTGCGATTTAAACCGCGATTATATTCTATAAATTGAAGCTCTTTTTTTGACAAGACCAGAATATTAACCTTTACTAGCTTGAGGCTTGACCCCTTAATGTAGTGTGCCAGACTGCCAGTAAGTTGTGGTTGTGATGTCACAAAACACCCTCTGATTGGTCTACCTTATCTAGACAGTTCTCAAATTCTACGGAATTTGGTTAAATTTTGCGTTTTTGATGATATAGGCTATATATTTTTTTTAAAATTGCAGCTCTTGTGATTTAAAAACTGCACTGCCTTAGATTGCGATTTCAATATAAAAATGATTAATCTTTCAGCCCTAAATGTTCATACGCATAATTTTGGGCACCCAGTCAAGTGAGTTTTGTTGATTTTTTAAGTGTAAATAAGTTACACATCCTCTACAGAGACACATTTTTGCTCATTTTAATGCACAGTTTCTCTTGTTGGCCTGTGCAACAGTTACGGCACATTTTATATTTTATGCTTCATTTTTTCCAAATTTATGTGAAACAGAAACCCTATATTAACCCTAAAACCCTATATTAACCCTAAAACCCTATATTAAAATTTGCTCTTTGTGGAGGATGTTTTAACTTATTTTCACTTAGAAAATTAATAAAGCGTGTCATTTGACCAGGAGGAGCTCTTGTATACAACTCTATATACAGAACCATGACAACTGAAAGAACAGTTTGAAAGCATAAATGGTTCTACACATGGTTCTTCTCTATGATGAAAAATCTGCTGTATATGGTTCTTTAAAGAACCTTTTAAAACAATGCTTCTCCATAGTACCAAAAAGGGTTGCTAAAAGTCTTAGAACAATTTTTTGGTACTATACAGAACCCTTTTTGCTAAGAGTGTACAAGCGTGAAAAATGATTAACTTTCAATCATGGTACTCAAACCAACATGCATGAATTTTGCTCCATAAGAAACAAAACTTTGTACACTGTAAAAAGTGGCTCGTCAGATCTACTTAAAAAATACTTCATGTAGTAGCAAGTAAATTAACTAGTTTTATTCAACCTAAATAAATACTTTGAATGAATGATTCTTTCAATTGAAGTAATGTTTTGCATTGTAATAAATATAATATATAATATATTATAATATATTGAATAAAACTAGTTAAATTACTTGTTGCTACATGAAGTATTTTTTTAAGTAGATCTGATGAGCCACTTTGTACAGTGTTGTGAGAATTGAAAGATTCAGTTTTCTGTGTGAAATACAACTGAGTTCATTTGTTAGGATCAAAACAGCATCACATCCTACATCATCTTGACAAAAACAGTCTTAATATGGGCATAGCTGTTTCATGACAACGTCAAGATCTCTGAAAAATTTAAGCTGAACAGCCACCGACCAGAGGTCTTAAAGTGTCTTAAGAAAGAAAATCTTCCTAAATGTTTGTTCGTTCTGAAGTTCATTCTTAAGAAAACAGTTACAGATTCTTAAAATAACTTCTTAAAAACTTCTGAAGATTTTTTCTTAACTCCTTTCTTAAGAATAATTCTAAGGAAAAGTGGTATTCTTGAAAACATTATGTTCTTTATTGTGCTTTATTTTTATTATTAATGTTGCTTTATTGTTCTTTATTGCTTAACCTTACGAGAGCCTCACACTTGTCTTGGGCTGGAGTTGACAGTATTTGATCTAAATCAGTTATAAAGCACACGCTGCCTCTGCTGCTCTTGCTTGTCCTCGTCTCTTGTTCTTTGCCTTCACCTCACAAATGGAGTTATGACATAACTGAAGTTTGAGGAAAGACCATGCCTGAAACTCCTCCTTCTCAATTCCAGCTTCCTATAAATACCAGTCCTTCAGTCCTCCTACTCGTGACGAAATGTGTGTAAATATATATATATATATATATATATATATATATATATATATATATATATATATATATAAAACATTTAATATATAGGGGGGTCAGCCTTCTTGTCGTATTTTCTAAGGAGGATTTTTCTCCTGTTGGCTGTTTCTTCCAACATCCTCTCTATTTCTTGTTTTTCTTAAAATTTTCAAACACTTGTTTTGATGCTTTTCCTCCATTTAGCTGTCCTCTGAGTCGATTATACAACAAAAATAACAGTTAATACAAATTCAGAATGTATCTTGGATCATTTACAGAACAGGGTAAAATGCAACACAGCCTACATAAGAAAACAAAGATTTTCTTAATAAAACTGTAGGAAAATAATGAAGATTATCTTAAGGTTTTTTTTTTTTTTTGTGAATTGCATTTAAGAGCGTTCTTATGAACCTTCCTAAGTTTTTTCTTAAGAAAGCTTTTGTGAATCCGGCCCCAGGACTGCACCACATTACAGGACTAATACTGTGAAAACCAGGAGGTTAGTGAGTGGAGCTTCGGTCTATTCCAGCACACAGATGTCTTACCTGTTCATTGTTTTTGTGAAGGGCTCAAGAATTCAGCATCTCTCCTCTTCCACTGAGTGTTGGAGGAGTAAAGGAACATTTCTGCCTTTTGAATTTATGTTTTGCAATGTTAAAAGATTGTTAATTGATGATTGTTGATTGAAGATTGTTGCTGTCTGTGCACACGGTGGGACTGTCGAAACTGCTTGAAATGCTTTTTCATATTGAATGACTTGGAAGACTAAATTCATAAATGTACAAAAATACACTAAAATTCACTCAAATACAGCACCATTCAAGAGTTTGGAGTCACGTGTCATATTAATAAAAGTGGTTACTGTATAAAATAATAAATAATAACTTATTGTATAATGCAGATTTAAAAAGAAAACTGAATGGTATTTTAAGATTTTTGTAAGTGTAAATAAGTGAACACACCCTCTACAGAGAACACATTTCTGCACACTTTAATACACAGTTACTGTTTATTTGCAGAATTTAACATACTGGAAAAATAAAACATAAAATGTGGCCTGTGCAAACGTTATGGCACATTTTATATTTTGTGTTAAACTTTTTTCAATATGTTAGTCTCAGCAAATAAATAGAAACCTTTTAAAAGCAAGGCAAGCTTATTTATATAGCACCTTTCATACACTGCTGTCCTTCAAAGTGCTTAAAAACATGATTAAAAATGATTAAAAGATTTTAAAGAAAAAGTCACTAAATTAAAAATCAAATAAAAAATTAGATTAAGATAAAAAAAGTGCTGTTACAGAGGGAAAAGGGCAGGAAATGCTAACAGTGTTTTAAACTGAGCTGAAAGCTGCTCAAACAGGAATGTTTTGATACTGGATTTAAAAGTGTCCGGTGTTGGGGCTCTTCTCAAATTTTACTAATATTAACAAAAAAATCACATATTTACTTGTGTTCTCTGTAGAGGACGTGTTCACTTATTTTCACATAGAAAATTGACTGGGAGCATTCAAACCTTTGCATACAACTGTGAATCATATACTGTAGTTCTCTGTTTACTGTGTCCTATTGTTTTGTCAGCTTTTCTGACTCCTGAAATATGATGAATTATGGATATGAATTATTCTAACTTTCTCAGTGTAACGCAGCTCTTGAGCCATTTCAGAATCATCTAGAGCTCTCTTCATTGGATGTTTCTAAAACATCTTAATTTTTTACCACCTTCATATCTTCCTGATAATAATTTGACGTCTGTGAAGCTGCACAGGACTGACGGATCACAATCATTTCTACATTTTTCTACAAATCAGTTTTGTTTTATTGGAAATATTGATTCCAAATTTTGAACAGTGATTCCAAACTCGATTGTTAGTGTCGATGCTCGCAGTGGATGGGCTCATTTTTTTTTAAATGAGTGTTTTTAGAGGCATGAAACAGATTTTTAACCTGCTATACAGAACCCTAATATTGTGGTGCTTATCACACACTGACCTCATTCTTGGGCAGGTAATTTTGCCTGTTGTCATTAGACCATTTAACTTACAAAGTTCCTGTCAAAGTATGTTTTACTTGTTGGTGTTTAATTTACTGCTCATTACCTTTTGGAATAAACTGGTTATAAGGCTTACTACACTTCTGTGTCCTGATTTCCTTTAATAGACTCAGTCATCTCTTTGTTATAGTCACTCTCATCGATCTACTGAACTGACCATTGGTGGGCTGAAATACTGGAATCACGCAGCAAGAAAAGCCCTTAAAGAAGATACTTCTCTTGAGTTTATTTAAGCTGTCTATGTTTATCTTTTTATTTTTTTAATCAAAATGCTCAGTTCTTTAATCAGCATTTTATTCTCTCTCACAAAACTCTGCATTACCGACAACATTTAGAATATCAAACATGATTTTAACACATATGACAACAATGTGTTTACATGCACTCAATAATCCGATCATTATCGGATTTCTGCAGTTATCCGATTCTTCAAATGGTCATGTAAACACTATACTCCGATCTAGAAATCTGATTAAGAAATCTGATGAAGAGAGCTGGACTTTAGTTCAGTAATCAGATGTTCATACTTTCAGGTAAAGCGGCGCGATGTTTTAAAAAAGAGCTGCAGTATGAAGTCTGAGTTTTACATTATGTTTAAGTCACGTCTTCTTCTGTGAGTTTATTGGCTGGTGGCAAAGCAGAAATCTGATTATTGTCTGACTCATGTAGATCCGGAGTTTCCCCATTATCTGATTACTCAAGTGCATGTAAACATGTTGATTGGATTACTGACAAAATCTGTTTTTCTGCATTTATCGGATTATTAAGTGCATGTAAACACACTCAGTGTTAGCAGCACTTCAGCAGTTCTCATTGTGGTAATGCAGCTAGCGATGCCACCTCAGTATATCATTTTGACCTTTTATTTCATTAAATATTAAAATAACTTCCAAAATCTTCTGTTTTATTAACTTCAAACATCTCTTGCTGGGTAAACCTTTTTTCTTTTTCTTTTTAAGGATCACAGATTATGTTTTTTTAGTATAAAAGCTAAAAGGTTGCCAGGTATAGCAAAAATCTCCCAGCAATTTTTGCTAAAGATCTGTCCACCAGAAGTTACATAATACAGAACACACTTTTCTCCAGCAATTGCATTTTCAAACCAGCCCAATTTGGGGGGAAAAATGCACACCTGGCAACCCCGATGGCTGGTGCTCGCAATGTACCAAACACTCCACAGCACAATGAAACCTGGAGGTGCGCGATTCTGCATAACCACCTCTTCGTCGCTCTGATCATAACTCATTTGTTTTACATCAGCTCTCGTAGTGTGTAAATCTCATATTAATGGAATGAAAATATTGATATTGGATCTTAGGAGACCCAAAAGGGATGGAAAGCGGGATAGTCTATATTATATTTTACAAGGGGGATGGTTTTTGTCTTTGTTTGATCCTGGAAAACTATTCTCCTCACTGTAAATAATAGATGTAGTGTGTAAATATATATAAATGAATATATTTGCAAACAATGTTTCAGAGTGTACCATTCCCTCATATTCCTTGTCATTCATATATGCAAATGAAAGTGCAAAAACAACCTGTTTTGAATTCATTGGTTTTGTGATGTCACAAAAACTATGCATTTATATATGTTCTCCTATTCAGCCTAGAGGAGTTTAGCCCTACTCATTCAGAATGAAGCTATATGGAGTGTCTCAGTCTGCTTTTTGATTGATGCACAACACAGGGCAGCCATTTAGAGCGGAGGTCATTTACATATATCAGTCTTAAAGGCACAGTAAAAACAGACTGAGGGATAAGTAGATGTTGGAAATGGTCATATTTTGGTACATAAAATATAAACATAAATTGTCTGAGGAAGAAAAATACAAGAAAAATATAGAATAAGTGCGCTTTAGGGGAAAGATACGAGTGGCTTGTGAATTATTGACAAAGTTATATGACTACGGTTGATAAACTACTCAAGTCAACTATCAGTCAGACTCATTTGACCAAATGCCAGGCTTATTGTTTCATGGTGAGAAGCTTATAAGATGCTCACTCCTACTGTATGCCCTATTATGAACGTTTTGTTCATACTTCCAGTGCATGTATTCAAATTTACATTCAAGATTCAAGAGTTTTGTTGTCATATGCACAGCAGAAACAGGCAGTTACACTGTACAATGAAATTCTTACTTTGCTGTTCCTCCATTCACCAAATATAATCTTAGAAAAAAATAGAAATATAAAAAATATATATTAAATACACAGATTAAGTAAAAATACACTAAAAACAATAGTAAAAAAGTAAAAAAGTACAGTTATAATAAAAGTGCTCCATGTGCTCCCAGCGGACTTGGTCAATTTAGCATGTCCAATCAGCCTAACCCGCATGTCTTTGGACTGTGGGAGGAAACCAGAGTACCCAGAGTAAACCCCCGCAGACACGGGGAGAACATGCAAACTCCACACAGAAAGGACCTCGGTGACCTGCTTGGGAATCGAACCCAGGCCCTCTTTACTGTGAATCAACAGTGCATGCATATATATATATATATATATATATATATATATATATATATATATATATATATATATATATATAAAACAGTACGTATTCATACGCATAAACAAAGATTTAAGGTTGAAATTGATCGTATACAGACACTGATTTATATTGTCTTTACATTGATCTGAAGTGTTTTTGAGGTTCGAATTGATGTAAAATACTGCTACCCTGTTTATTCTGTTTCGCATTTCATTCAGAATATTTACAGTTAAAAATGTAAGCACAATCTGTAGGAAGTTGTGGGTTCTTTTTTTTATTATTATTGAGCC